ATTAACCATATATTAACCATATATTAACCATATATTAACCATATATTAACCATATATTAACCATATATTAACCATATATTAACCATGTATTAACCATATAATTACCATTTGATAACCATATAATAACCACTTATTAACCATATAATAACCATATATTAGCCATCTATAAACCATAGAACAAACATATCATAACCAAATAACAACCGTATAATAACCATAAATATTAACCATATAATAACCTCATAATAACCATATAGTAACCATATATTAACTATATATTAACCATAAAATAAACATTTAATCTCCATATAATAACCGTATAATAACCATATAATAACCATATTTTAACCATTTAATAACCATATAATAACCGTATATTAGCCATATATTATCCATATAATAAACATATATTAACCACATAATAGCCATATATTAACCATATATTATCCGTATAATAACCATATAATAACTATTTAATAACCATATAATAACCATATAATAACCATATAATCGCAATATAATCACCATAAAATAACTGTATAATAACCATATATTAGCATGTCTCTCTATCATGTTTTTGGGCTATCTCTTTAGGAACTGCTTTGCAATGTTTGTCCTTCTTTTTTTGGAATGTTTGTCCCTAACTTTTGGGATTTGTTGTCCCTCTTTGGTGAATTTTTGTCCCTATCTTTTGGGAATTTTTGCCCCTAACTTTTGTGATTTCTGTCCCTATCTTTCGCCCGAATGATAGGGACAAAATTCACAAAAGTTAGGGACAAAAATTCCCAAAAGATAGGGACAAAATTCCAAAAAGACAGGGACACAAATCCCAAAAGATAGGGACAAAAATCCCGACAAAGAGGGACAAAAAATCCCCACAAAGAGAGACAAAAAATCCCAAAAGTTAGGGACCAAAAAACCCAAAAGTTAGGGACACATTCCCAAAAGTTAGGGACAACAATTCCCAAAAGTTAGGGACAAAAATTCCGAAAAGTTAGGGACAAAAATTCCCAAAAGTTAGGGACAAAATTTCCCCAAAAGTTAGGGACAACAATTCCTCCCCAAGCTAGGGAATTTTTGTCCCTAACCTTTGGGGAATGTTTGTCCCTAACTTTTGGGATTCTTGTCCCTCTTTGTCGGGAATTATGCAGAATTATCCCGTATGGAGCTCAACCACGTTTTCTTGACCCCTTATATTGATTGCGAATATTTGGCCCCAAATATGGAAAATTTAAAGGGACAATAATTACCCAAACTTAGGGACAATAACTACCCAAACTTAGGGACAATAATTACCCAAACTTAGGGACAATAATTACCCAAACTGAGGGACAATAATTACCCAAACTTAGGGACAATAATTACCAGACTTAGGGCCAATAATTACCCAAACTTGGACAAAATACCCTAAAGAAAACGTGGTAGAGCGCCATGCTAAACCATATAATAACCATATATTAACTATATAATAACCATATAATAACCATAAAATAACCATATATTAACTATATACTCACCATATAATAACCATATAATAACCATATATTAACCGTATAATAACCATATAATAACCATATATTAAATATAAAATAACAATTTAAAAACCATATAATGACCATATAATAATCATATATTAACCATGAGATATCCATATAATAACCATATAATAACCATTTAATAGCCATATAAAAAACCATGTATTAACCATATAATAACTGTATATTAACCATATATTAACCATATATTAATCATATATCAACCATAAAATAAACATTTAATCTCCATATAATAACCATATAATAACCATATATTAACCATATATTATCCATATAATAAACATATATTAACCACATAATAACCATATATTAACAATATATTATCCGTTTAATAACCATATAATAACCATTTAATAACCATATAATAAAATATAATAACCATATATTAACCATATAATAGCCTTATGATAACCATATAATAACCGTATATTAACCATATAATAACCATATATTAACTATATATTGACCAAAAAATAAACATTTAATCTCCATATAATAACCAGATAATAACCATACATTAACCATATATTATCCATATAATAAACATATATTAACCACATAATAACCATTTATTAACCATATAGTATCCGTATAATAACCATATACTAACTATTTAATAACCATATAATAACCATATAATAACCATTTAATAACCATATAATAACCATATCTTAAACATATCATAATAACCATTTAATAACCATATATTAACTATTTAATAACCATATAATAACAATTTAATAACCATTTAATCACCATATAATGACCATTTAATCACCATATAATGACCATTAAATAACCATATATTAACGATATAATAACCATATATTAACTATTTAATAGCCATACAATAACCATTTGATAAGCATTTAATAACCATATATTGACCATTTAATAACCAAATATTCACCATACAATAACCATATATCAACTATTTAATAACCATGTAATAACCATTGAATAACCATTTAATAACCATATATTAACCATATAAAAACCATATATTAACTATAATGCATCTGAACCCTCCGGGGATGACCGAATGAAATGGCCGACGAAACGACCGCAGGATTGGTGCGAGACGTCGCACGACCACAGCGAGTTAACGCGCAGCCACCGACGGGTGCGCCGGGGAGTTTTGTTTGTTCTCCCAGGGACAGCTGGGAAATGGTCCATAAATCATATATGAAACATTGGTAGATATAAATCAACTATCTACACTTTTATAGTTATATTCATTCAACTATAGATATATGTTCCATAAATCCCAGTGAGTCTAGTCATAAGCCAAAGTATCCATGATAAATCACCGAAAAACATATCCATGCGTTGGTTTGTATGATGATTTTTGGACCCCAACATCCAATGGTTGATGAGCATTTCATATTTCTTAAGATTGCCATTCCGGGGATATATATATATATATATGTATATATCATGTTCAGACAGACCGCAATCACCTATAGATTTGTAGCTGCTCGTGGTTTAAAATTAATTATCTTGTTGGATGATGTTTTCTTGGGGATATACTAGGCTTGAAGAATCTTGGGAAATTTGAGATTATCATCATCCCTGAGCAATCCCGGAACTCTTAACCAATATCCCCAAGCAAAGGGGAAGTCGGAAGCTGAGCTCATGCCAATGCCAAACCCTTTGGTGGGACTTATGTTTGGTGGTGCCCACAAACGATGGTGGAGTTGGTGAAGTTGGATATGTCTATGCATAATATATGGGTATTATAAACCAACAAATACAACTGGGGCACCACCTTGAACAGTCAGTCGACTCAGGAAAAAAACAACTTATCGTCAATCACCATGAACATACCTGTTTGTGTCCGTCGTACATTGCTACCTCCTATTTTTGTTGAAATTCCAACAAATTAATTACCATCTTTGTTGTTTAAATCCAATTCAAATCACCCATGAGTTAGAGCAAAGCATCAAAATCCAGTATCAGTTGCTCTAAGTCACCATTGTTCATGATGTTTATTGTATTTTTTCTTAGCAACACCTTCATTTTGCCTTGAAATTTCAGGTGCTGTACTCTGCCTCCTTTCTGCCCGAGAGCACGGAATTGGACGACCTCGGGCAGAGCGTTGCTTTGAAGAGGCGGGATGGCAGGCGGAAGGATCTCTGGGGATATGTTGTTTCCAATTTTTCCAGGCTTTGGTCAGAAAAGAAAAATCACAACTATCAAAACATTGGGAATATTTTTTTGGGGGTGAAAAACCATCAAAGATGGGATTTATAATTTATAGGGAATATAACCATAAGAATTGGGGATTTAACTATCAAAGATATGATTAAAACTAGTAACGGGATCTAATCATAGAATCATTGGGGACTTAGCCATTAAGAATGGAGATATTTCACCAACAGAAATGGGGACTTGCAGCAGACCAACAGAAATGGGGACTTGCAGCAGAACAACGTGAAGCATGGGAATTTTAAGCAGCAGACATTGGGATGCAGAGTTGATTTATGACGGCTGATGGGATCACATATGTTTTTCGAGGGAATTGACAGATTGTTGTTGCTGTTGGCAGAATCATCCCAGACGTTGGAATTCAATCAACTAGGTTTGAACTCGAAACCATGAACATTGGATGACTTCAATGGCCATTTCAGGTACCTAAACTGAAGCTAGCAATACTTTGGGGCTCTTTCATTCCCTTACATAGGTACGCCATGGACTGTGCCAGGTAGCTACCTCCGTAGGGTAGCTTCAGCACCGGGGCCAGGCCAACTGTGAAGCCGCAGGGGCCAGCAAAACTCACAAAGCCGCAGCTGCATCTGCCACTTGGAAATTGATCTCAGTAGAGGTGGAGATTTCAGTACCAAACCCTCCGGGGGTTCGGGAGCGGTGAAGGGAGCCTAGAAGGGGTATCCTTTCTTTTTCGCAATGGGGAGCCAAGGAGTTACTAAGACTAAGAGATTCCCAAGCACATGAAAGTTTTCCTGTGTCAATCATTGGATCTTTTGACCAATGTATACTGGTTATTTCTGGTTATATATATATAATATATAATTCTTGATACAAACAACAACCAATATGAACAAGTATGGAATAATAGCCCAACTTTCCAGTCACCTCTGAGATAGGTAACCAATGGGTGATTTTACCGTTTACATGATGGCTTGGAGTTGGGAATCCTTCTCTCAACTGGAAGATCAGGGTACATTGCTTTACCCCAAAACCTGGATATCCTCCGGTACTTCAACACGGCTAGCCGGAAAACACCTTATATATAATATACATACATGAGTGAAGGTCTATAGCTAGGAACATCACCTATAGATGGTGGATTTTCCATTGCCATGTTTGATTTTCGGAGGTTATGATGTCATATTTTTGCGGAAGGAAGAACTCCACGAAACAGGCTTGGGCAGATTTTGACGACTTGACTGGCAAGGCTAATAGGACCAATGGCTATTCGTTGGGGGATTTTCCAATTTTGGACCGTGAGTTGGAATTTGCCGAGATTATCTACGCGATGGCGATAGCTTGTCTTACCTCGTTGTAAATAGATATGGTTCAAGAAAACTTATCTGGTTGGTGGTTTGGAATATGAATTTTATGTTCCCATTCAGTTGGAAATGTCATCATCCCAACTGACTTATATTTTTTCAGAGGAGTAGGTTGAAACCACCAACCAACTTATTGTTTTTTACTTGGCACTGAAAGGAATGGCACTTCAGAAATCTGGCAAAGATCCAGGCACATTGGATCTGAGATCCTGGCCTGGCCCCTCTCAACAATGCTTGAGGGATAGGTAGGCTTCGATGAGGGTTTCCGATTTTATAACAGCTTGCGAATGATGAGCCTAAAAATTGACCCAGAAAAGGAAAGAAAAGGTGGACATCGAACACCAGGTGGATATCTAACCCCAGCTGTGGAATATCTACTCACCTTATCAAGGGATCCTGGCACCAGTCACCGAAACAGGCGACCTCTTCGTCGTATTTCCGCTGTCGTGTTTCACGCTAAACATCTACAGTAAGATAGTTTCCGATCATCAGTATCAGTCTAACTTAAGTTTGATTTTGATGAAATGACCGTTTAACAACATTCTTTGTTAACACATATTTTCGTAGACTAAGAAAATAGGAGAGTTGATGGAAACAATGATAATAATTCTATCAACTATCTTTCTATAAGAATTCTACCAATCCATTTGTCCAAATATCATAAATATCATTTGTCATTTGTCCTCATATTTTTCCATATCATATTTTCCTCATATGGGATGGAAGTGGATTCAACTTGATTCAACCTGTTTTTTGGAGACTTGGGATCAACATGGATCCGCTCAGACCTGGTCAGTCATGGGGGATCCCCAAGTCACCGTTGTTTCAATACTAAGATGGCCATAGATGGTCTATATACTGTCTTATATATATATACATTGTATATATCATATACATTATATATATACTATATAATATATATATATAATTATATATGTTTATGACATATTATATATTTATTACATATAATATATATTTTGTATTATATTTCATATTTTGTATTTTATTCTTTTTTATTAAATATCATATTTTATCTATTTTATATCTTTTATTATATGTGTTTTTAATATTTTTAAATTATATTTTGTTTACATTATTTGTTGAATTATATATGTAATAATTTATTTTTTATATTATTTATTTATTATATACGTGTTTGATTACATTTATGATTTTTATATTTTTTATATTTCATTATATATTATTTATTTTATTTTCAATATTCAATATATCATATTATATTATATTTTAATATATTTTATTTGTTATATTAATTTTTTTTATAATATATATTATATATTCTTTCTTATATATATATTATTATTATTTAAATAGTATATTATAATATGTTTTTTTGTTTTTTAGGTCATATTTTATTTTATTTTTTATATTATATTATATTATGTTATTTTATATTATATTCTTTTCCATTATATTATATTATATTATTTTATTTTATTTTATATTATATTATTTTTGGTATTTTGCATTATTTATAGTATATTATATTTATACTTTATATGTTATATTGTTTTTTTGAATATTTAATTATATACAATATTGTTTATGTTATATATATATATATGATTTTGGATGATTTTGGAGGTACCCCCCCCATTTTTTCGGAAAAAAAAAATATATATACATCGCTGGTGCATCCAGACCTGAACTTTTTGCCGGTTTTTCTATGTTTTTCAGGCTCCAGGTATGCGTATACATATCTATATATATATATATATACATTATATGAATAAATAAAGAGATAAATAAATTTACCCCAAGCATAGGACCTGTTTCAAAGACGGTTTCGAAAAGTCAGAGGTTTTCCAGGTCGCCCCAGGTCGAGCGGATCCCGCGATTCGGTTCAACTGGATGTGAGCCCTTTGAGCACCTTTATGAGGCCCTTGGGATCCTGGGATCCCTGGGAAGGGAAAAAAATTGGGCCATGCGAAGCTCAAAAGCTGGAAAAATGTGTGCCCAGAAGTGGTGTAATATCATATATAGATTATATAGCGTACATCACATATATATATATATACATATACATACCATACGTATAGCTACCGTACAACGGCGTATACATATAGGAACTATGAAAAGAATGAACACGATAGAACCTGTAATTTATCACACTGTTCGTGCAGTTTGGCCCGAAATACCAGTTATAAGCCAGAAAGTCACCCTATTTATGGTTAGTTATCACACCACAGATAACTATATTAAAAAGAATTTGTAATTCGGACAAACTTACTGTAGGATTTCACATGTTTTTCCCTATATTTTTTTGAGGGCCAAAAGCACGGGGCCCTGATCAAGGCTTAACCATAGTGCCGCTTGATGACAATGTGCAAGCGCTATTCCATAGTTGGCTAAGTTTGTCTATAACTATGTAGATGAAGTAAGGTTGATGGTAGATATGTCATGATCAATCTAATAGTATATCTATATAATCTATATAGTTGGATGTGGTTCTTGAACCAACATAAACGTAACTGGAGGAAAATATGATTGCTGACCTAGTTTCAAAGTCATGATATGACCTTTTGACTTGAAACAACCCATGTTTGAGAAGCATCCATACAAGCAATTGAATGCCTCTTGGGCCCTGACATGTCCAGAATCAAATCGCTCCATCAAAAAGAATTCCCATTGGCCAGTTCCTAGGAGGTATTTACCGAACAAAAAAATCACCATAGGTCATGCTATGGCCGATTTGATCCATAGGCTAAGTGTGTAAATATGCGCATGTATATATATATATATATATATCCGCACCCCATGTCACCAAAGAAAAAGATGGAAATTGTGAAATCCGACTAGACTCGTGATGAATTACTTTTCTATTTTTTCGAGGGTTACTATACATGTATGTATACTTAGTGGATGGTTTTGGCTTAGGAAAGTTATAAGTAAGTTGTAGCACTTTAAGCACTTGCACTACTTGTAAGTTAACTTGGATAACTTAGCAACCGATAATTTTTTAATTTAAATGCTAAGTTCCCTAAGTTTAACTTGCAAAACTTATAAGTTCTCTAAGTGCTTGGTGCTTCAGGAAGTATTATGTTTTGAGCTTATTGTTGAAACAGTGTCGAAAACAAAACATTTTGTGTTTCTCCAAAAAAGCCTTGAATTGGCTAGTGTGCGGTTCCATGAACCGCACCAAAGAGGAATTTGATGATGCTGCAAGGCAATCTTTAAGAACAGTTATTACTGGTCCTAATTTGTATAAAAGCGGCTCAATGAGCCGCTGCGGTTGTGGTAAAACCAGGCCATGATTTGACAACATCAGCAGCAGTGTGACCTGTGGACACTTTTCAGTCTGCTTGGCGTGCCCAAAAAACAGTGTGGTTTTGTGGGACGTGCATCCCCTGCCAAAATTTGAATCCCAGATTATAACATGTGTGAACTTTTTGATTTCAACATTCGCGGCCCAGGGCCGCAATTTTTTTGGTCAAACAAACGCCAAACAGACTATGGACTTTCAAAAACCTTTGCCCCAAAACCTGCGAAAAAGATGAAATGTATAGGAATGTATAGGAATGTATAACTCCATTTTTTTCGAGTTATACATGTATAATTCCATTTTTTCGGGCTATACATGTATAACTCCGTTTTTTTCGAGTTATACATGTATAACTCCATTTTTTCGAGTTATACATGTATAACTCCATTTTTTCGAGTTATACATGTATAACTCCGTTTTTTTGTCCGATACATTCCGATACATTTCTATACACTCGACATTTTGCCTGTTTCTCAACCTTCCTTTGGGTAAACGTTTGCATTTTTCACCATTCCATGGATGAGTTTTGAACTGCATTTTTTTCAAGCACCGCTTGTTTGAAATCAAAACTGTAATTTTGGAAAACCAGCCGGCAGCCTACTTGCCGTTCTTGTTCTTCTCCCTGCTGCCCTTGTGGCCCATCTGGAACTTCTTTCCATCATTGACCGTGCTGGTCATCATTTTTGGCCTGATCCTCCATACTCTTCATTGGCTTCAAGATTTTGTAAGACGAAGAGCTAGACGTGGTCATAGCCGCAGCCTCAAGGGGATCATCCAGATGTGGTCCAATGAGCCGCAGTGTTTCAAAGCAATTCTTTGCCAAGAAATAGCTTTCCAACAGATTTTTTCACATGCATTCCAAAAACATCCTGTTAACAAAATAATCAAAAATATCGAGAAAAGGAGAAAATGACTAAGTCTTGAACATGCAAAAAAGTTAAGTTTGCTAAGTTAGTTATAAGCTCCACAACTATATTGTTTCGAAAAGTTAACAAAATAGTTATCAAACATACAAATGATCAACTCCTATAAGTAACTTGTATGTGCCCTAAGAAAACTTCAAAACTTAGCTGACTTAGGGATGTTACAATAGCTTATAACCTCGTTGTAACAGTACTTGCAAGTGCTTACAAGTAGTCTAAGCCAAAACCATCCACTAAGTATATATATATATATATATTGATCCTGGAATAAACGAATATGTTTTTTCAATGGATTTCCATGTTCGTGAGTTTCTTGAAATGTCCATATTCTATCTACTCCAGGAAAACTTCGGGTATATTTGACCTACATGTATCTCAAGTCGAATGTTTGTTGCACTCGCCAGGAGTGCAGCGTTGGGGGTCTCGTCGCAAGACTTGCAGTGATGGTCTGACACGCCGCTTGGTGGTTGGTGACTCAAGCAATGGATGATTTTGAGCAATCAACAGAAAACCTATTGGTGAAGTGGCTTAGAGGCTATGGTGATGTATGTTTTTTAAAGGGACATTTGGATTTCAGCTGCAAACATGGAAAACATGGTGATAACACTATGGTAAAATGATGTACCATGCGGATTACAACTACAACACCACGATCAAACGTACCTGCAATGAAGGGCTCATGACCCAGTCACCAAGCAGCAAGTTCCAGGATCATCAAACATGGCTGCAAAATCCACGATAGATGATGTTCCTTGCTATAAACCTCTACTCATACGGAAGTGTCCATTGTCATCTTACTGGTGCTTAGTAGGGAATGGATAGGAATGGGGGAATGGGCTGATTATTGATAGTGATTATGGATCATTCCCTCACTCCCTGCTAAGCACCAGTAAGTCATGTTTGATTGCCAGAGCGTATGTGTTCAATGTCTTTCTTGGGACTCACGGGATTCGCATTGAATTTCCAACCTCATTTGCAGACGACTTAGGGACAAGTGTTGAGCGGTGTACGTTTGTATAAGATACGTATACACTTGAAGTATGTTGAAGTCCTTTACCAGTTTTGTACTGGTTGGTGGTTTCAATTTTTTTGTATTTTCCATATTAATCATAATATATCGGATAATCCTTCCCATTGACTAATATCTTGCAAGATGTAAAAAAAACACCAACCAGTACAAGTCATTTATAACCCGATTTATGGAATGTATAACTGTATAGCCCCATTGAAATCACCATCTATAACTGCTATATGTTGCCCATGACTTCGCCACAGCATGTCTCTCCTGTGGCACCATGCCGTCGTGCTAGCAATCATCCCGTGGATGGAGTACTTGTAGGATCATCCCACTTAGTCAATAAGCCTATAGTTAGGAAGTCCCCATTCAGTGGGGTGTATTCTATATAGAACGAACTAACTAACTATAGAACCAACTAACTAACAAACTAACTCACTAACTGACTAACTGACTAACTAGCTGACTAACTGACTAACTGACTAACTGACTAAATGACTGGCTAACTAACTAGAACTAACTAGAACTAACTAGAACTAACTAGAACCAACTAGAACTAACTAGAACTAACTAGAACTAACTAGAACTAACTAGAACTAACTAGAACTAACTAGAACTAACTAGCGAACTAACTAGCGAACTAACTAGCGAACTAACTAGCGAACTAACTAGCGAACTAACTAGCGAACTAACTAGCGAACTAACTAGCGAACTAACTAACTAACTAACTAACTAACTCACTAACTAACAAACTAACAAACAAACTAACTAACTAACTAACTAGAACTAGAACTAACTAGAACTAACTAGAACTAACTAGTACTAACTAGAACTAACTAGAACTAACTAGAACTAACTAGAACTAACTAGAACTAACTAGAACTAACTAGAACTAACTAGAACTAACTAGACCTAACTAGACCTAACTAGAACTAACTAGAACTAACTAGAACTAACTAGAACTAACTAGAACTAACTAGAACTAACTAGAACTAACTAGAACTAACTAGAACTAACTAGAACTAACTAGAACTAACTAGAACTGACTATTCTATAGTTGATTGTTTCTTACAATACTATATGGAACTAACGAACTATATCATACTGGGTGATACTGGGTGAACTAACTATAGTTATTCACCAGTTTCGATCAGATGATCCTCCAAGTACCTGCCCAACAAAATGAATATAGTTGAATATATGGTGAACTAAGCATAGTTAACCCAACTGGTTAAAATATATCCATAGTTTAAATACTATTCATAGTACCATAGCTAAGGTATTGTGATGATCATCGAAGTTGATAAATCCCAGTTGGGGGCATGAAACCCAGCCACCAACACCACTTTGTTAGCCGTGTGGCATCATCCAAATGGCTTGGTATCTCCCTTTTCCTGCGACAGAACCAAATTATATATATATATATATTATAATATATTTTACAAAATACATATACATATATCTGGGTAAATTATAACGACCTCACTGCGACCTCACTGGAATAAGGGACATTATCCCCAGATGGCCTATTATAATTTACCCATATATATATATATATATGTGTGTGTATCTGTGTGTGTGTGTGTGTTTGGTTGTGTATCAACACATATGTCCCATTCTATCACCAGTATAGTGTGGTTTCTGCACTTTGTCGGCTGCTTTCCCCCGTTTCTGGACAATCCTCCATGTAATAGCCGTTCTAGTAGAAAGTGTCAAAGTACCACTCATATTCCCATATATTCCTTGCAAAATGGTTGGTTTGATACCCCAAGTTTTCTTTGACACATCCCGGACATCCCCCATTTCCATGAAATTCATTTGTGACATCCCCTAATTTGGCTGGTACAATCTCTCTTTGCCTACTCGAGCCCCTCATATTTGAAGTTCCTCATCCTTTGGTAACACATCCCGCATGTTTGTTTTTTAAGTTGAGTATAATATGGCCCTTCACCAGTTTTAAGTCAGTTATAATCCCGTTTATGGAATGATAATCCCATTTATAGCTGTAAAAAAACTGGCAGAGGGCTTTAACTCGTATCCCTTTCCCTTTGGACAACCCATGGATTTCCATTGAGGCAAAGTCCGAGCGGACCCAGCGGACGGCGTTTGGATGTCCGCAGTGCTGTGTTTTGTGTTGTTTTTGTTACTGCATGGCGGGTAGGTTACCACTTGAATCCCATGGTTGGGATATCCCCTTATCAACCAGCCATAGCTTGCTAAAATATAGAATGTTGAAAGAAACAGTCAATTACTGTAGTTAATGGAAATGGTGTTTACCAACAATTAGACCATGTTTCAATGAAACCGTATACCAATTCCATATCCAAGATTATACCAACATTATCACCTTGGATATTGAAGATCATTCTGTGGATTGACCAAAAGTTGGGTCACGAGATGGCCACTCACAGCAATTCCAGTTCCATCAGCGACAGTTCTTGTGTTCAACCATCCCATGAAATGTCTATGTTCTTCCATAGCTAAGTCATGCTAAGTCCCCATGAAATGCATGAAATGGTTCAGCCCCCCCTTTTTTGCCCAAGATTTCGCAGGATGAGTGGTTTGGTTTCAGTATGTTTCAGACCAATGAGCAGGGTTTACATCAGACAAAATTCTCAGACCATTTGATCACAAGATGATCACCAAATCGGGGCGTTGTTGGAGGGGGCAGCTGCCGCATTGTAAAACGCCTGCAGTGATCATAGCATTGTCTGCAGAAGGTCCAACTTGTGAGGCTGGCGGCTTCCAATGGTCGAGCCTTATATATATATTTACAAACATTATATACATATATATATATACACATATATATATATACATATATATATATATGTATATATATATACATATATATACATATATATATACATATATATATATATACATATATATATACATATCCATTTATATCCATCTATGTCTTACATGCAAACTGCTTGCAGATTCTCCAATTCAACGGACCATGTGCGAAGAAAGAAGCGATGAAACCTACCACGGCCTCACGCGATGACTCTGGATCATCCCTGAAACTGACGACGAGTAGTCCCAAACTTTCAGGGATGGAATTGGGAAGTGTTGAATGGAGTGTTTCAAATATGAACGGTGGTGAAACAACGGTTGAGATTCTGCCGGGCTTGTCCAGATTTTGCATTTGCTGGTCTCATCACTTAGATAAGCATCCCCAAAATTAAAGAATTGATGACCATCAATGACCATATTTTTCTACATGGCAATGGCATGAACAGTAGATCTTCTGTTGATGCAGTTCTTCGATCTTCTCGGAGTGAATATGTTAAGGACCCTTTCTGAACTTCATGAGTTGCCTAACAATCCCATAGCTGGCCGCAAAGACCCGATATCTTTACCACGGATATTTTTAGGATTTAACGTATTCATTTTGGGCATGGATTCAGCCGTCAGTTCAGAGGTCCCCGGTCCCCATGAAGCAGATTGGAGGTCTATAATAAGTGAACAATCTGAGTGGAGACTTACAAGTACCTCACCAGTATCAATAGTTCAGGTGAATTCCGGGGTAACTCAGAATGATGTAGCATATTTGTGGTTTCTAGTGTCTACATTAGATCAGTGGAGTTCCCATTCGGCTTTCCGGGTCGTACATCTTCGAGCTGGAAAGAATCCTATGGATGTTTTCCCAAACTCACACTCCTCACCAGAGAATGTGATCTTGCCTGGATTATTTCTATGTCTGTGTAATGATGTGTTTGTTTGGAAATTTATGGAATTCTGTGCGTTTTTTCAGACATGCCCCCCCCCTATGTTCCTAGTGAAGCTCACAAGTGCTCTTACATTTGCAACCCTCTCCTGGTTGTTGACAGATATCGATTTTCCTATCCTCCATTAAACTAACAGTCCGCTATTGAAAATGGACTAATGGACCATTTATCGATGATTTACTTATTAAAGATTGTGATTTTCCAGTTCGCTACGTTAGTTTACCACAGAAACAGCAGCCTTTGAGCGCATGGACATCATGGACATCATGGACCTCCAACTGCCCCTTTCCATAGGGACCTTTCGAGCATTTGGCTGAGCCAATGTTCCGCTGCGTCGCTGATCTTCCGCTTAGGGAAAGCATGTTGCAGGAAAACTCCACCTAGTTATATATATATAATAATAATCATAATAATAATAATAAGCATTGCATGGGTTTCAAACAAGGCACTGGAACATCCCCCAGATGATTCTACCACTCTAAAACCTCGGTTTCTCCCATTAAAACCTCCATTTCTAATCATTTTGTTCGGAGATTTCCCAGCCAGTTGTGACTACTTCACGGCTTTCCTGTGAATCTTCCCTTCAGTCTGATGACTGGGGCCATGATCAAAGTGGATTTTCGTAGCTCCCCAAATTCACCGGGAAAAATGGGATCATCCATAATACCCTCTGGTAAACTAACATAGGTATTGAAAATTGCTATTTATAGTGAGTTTTCCCATTAAAAATGGTGATTTTCCCTAGTTATGTTAGTTTACCAGAGGGTAATCCATTGTGAAATCACATGAAATAATCGAGGAATCCATGGCGGTGAATAGATATCATGTCTTGTTTTTGGTGGCATTTCAGCAAACTTTGGCACTCCACATCCGGGGTTTAAAAAAAAACGATTCCAAGGACCTCACAAAAATAGAAAGTACGACTGGAGCATCATCGTGAGGCTGGCAGTTCTAAGTTGATAGATCAGGTTTAAACCATGTTTCAAACCTAGATAAATAATGATAAAATGATAAATCTAGTGATAGTATTTTATAGTGCGCTGTATATGATCGTATGTTATAGTTGTCCTTTTCTCAACACAAACCACTTGACGGGGGATGCCGCGGGCGCACGTCGCGAGCAAATACTGTACTGCCTGAGGTGGGATTCCAACCTCTACTGCTGGGTGGGAAGTCGTGTCAACCCATGCCACCATTGGATTTCCCCTCCGGTAATCAAACGTGGCAAAGGACCTATATAAGGAGAAGAGTTGAAAATTGCATAAGTTGATATAAATTGGATATTTTTGGAACATCCATCTATAGATGGTGGGTTTTACAGCTAGCCCTGTTTGATTTCCAGAGAAAGTAGCACAAGAAACCTTGGATTTGTATTACATTAGTGGCTATGATAAACTGGCCCTGAGGTAGAGGAACGGACCACACTAAGATGGTACACCGGCTCAGAACTATAGATGAGCTGGTGTTGAAATAGATATATCTACAGTTGACTGTGTTTGTAAAACCAGTTCATAATTTAAGGGCCGCTTCTTATACCAATCAAAGAGTAGGGAGGGAAAAAAAACACAAAATAGTAGACATGAATACAACAAATAATGGAAAATATTTTGGAAGTTATTTTGGAAGTTCGCTGGTGCAGTACATAAATTTACACTGCGCAATGTCAGCTTTGCTATAGTCATCCCCCAAAAGATTAAGTGTGAATGGCTATATATGGCCCTCAAAATAGTAGAAAAATACCTGCCTTGTATGACTGATGGTCATTGATGTCATACCATTTTAGTCATCAAAATATGAATGACTATCCCAAAACTGAATCTGCCTTGTATCATGGACATTGGGATTCCTAAAAAGTTTTGAATGACTGTCATTATGAGGGAAAAATCCACATTTTTGAATGCCGAGAAATTTACAAGAGTGTAAGTCTGCTGCATGTACTACAGACACATAAGAAGTGTGCAAAACAACTGTTGGTTGATGCCTATAGGGGGTTAGTTCAACAATAACAATAATTTGGGGATCATCACATTCCACTATAGGAAAGGGGAATTCCGTTCTTGACCAACCTGTTTTAAGGGGTGACAGAGAGTTTCGAACACTGCTCACATGATTTATTCTATGATATTCTATGTGGGTTTGTCTGAAAATAGAAAACCCAAAAAAAAACAATGTTGTATCATCATCTTCCTGTTCTTAAATTGCAATTAACATCTGCGTACCCCATTTTCCATCATCAACAATAATCAAAAAGTGAACATTGAACATCTAACATCTGATGATACCCGTTGCTTTCCCAGTCCTGCAGACTTGAAAAACCGCTGCGCCGCACAGCAGACCTTTTATGAGCGTGCGACAAAAGGGCTGTGAGAGGACTGTTTCTACAAGGTGGTACCCAGTTCGTTGGCTGAGTTGTTCTATGAGTTGGCAGATATCTCATATAAATAGTAGGGTTTATAGACTATAACTGGGGGCATCACCTTCTAGTAAAATTCACTAGAACTATTTTCTGGAGTGTCCCCACAGAATCCATGGATGTTCTCCGCCATCAGAACGCCTCTGATTGGTCCAAAATGAAGACCTTCGATAGTACCATGGCCTAGGATTTCTGGTGGATGTTTCTTTGAGGTGATGTTTGTTGGTTTACAACGCCCCTTAGCGATGTATTTGCCATAAACCCAGTGATCCGGACTCCTATCCGTGCCATGTCAAGAGACGTTGCCAACGGTGTATAATCCGTTCACCTGGGAAATCGATAGGTACTTAGATGGGCCGTGGGATTAGCTAACTAGTTAGTAAGTGGGTCATAAACTACAAACATATCCCAATTATAATCCATTTACTAACTACTTAACCAACTCCACGGCCCATCTAAGTAGTTGAATATCCTGTGTTGTGTTGAATATCCTGTGTTGTTTTGCCATGAGTCGGGGGAAGAAGCAACTAGACACAGTTTTGGCCCCGAAATGCCAGTTATGGATGTCAATAAGTCACCCCATTTATGGTCACTTCTAACCCCATTTAGTATGTTAACAATATATATATATATATACACATATATATATAACATATATAACCATAACCATATCACTGGTAAATGCCTATAAATCCCATTAAATCACCATAGTTTGTGGCCTGAAGTGGCTTAAATGCCCATTTCCTATGGGTGAAATCCTCTGGGACACGCCATCGCCAGGAGCACGGAAAACGCCAAGGAGGTGCGCCGATTTGTTTCGGGTGAAACTGATTTAAAAAAAGGATATCTCATATGCTCCATGGTGCTGGAATATTTACCAACATTTGCCCCAAAAATCACCCAAATGTAGGTAAATATACCATACATGGAGCATATGGGCATTTTCAGACAAGACAAAGCCATATAAAGATGTGTATATATATATATTATATTAAGAAGCAGTGCCATTCCATTGGGCCAGGTGCTACAGCAGCATGGACCGAATG